AACATGAATATCATATAAAATCCAACCGGCTGCCATACAAGGCTCAGCACGTTTTCACCCCCTAACAATGTTATCTCAGGAGATTCATCAAAACCCAGTTTATCTTCGTATCTATACTATTTTTATACTAAATCTCAAAGTAATGGTAACAGGTAGATTAGCTTGTCCTATGTTGGGAATACACATTAACTCGAGACTGCATATTTGAATGCGTATATACATTAGTTACATGAAATTTATTACATACTCGAATAGTATGAGATAGCCTAGAACGAGACGTTTCAGATAATTAATCAGCAAAATTAAATTAGACTATATAATGACTTGGAATTAAAACACTCATAAAGTTAAAAAAACAGATAAATAACAAAAATTAATCCGGCAAACAATTTCTTCATCGAAATTTGAATATGACTAACCATTAAAGCACGTCCCAGAGTTTCAATTGGCAGTAGGAAACAAAATATTCCACAGCAAAAGGCAACTAAGGAATAGTTCACGTAAGCGGCTAACATTGAAACATCTGGAAGCAAAACTTGCGCGATAAAAGGTGTCGTCATGGCACCAAATCGCGAAATGGCACTAAATATACCAACTGCTAATGAACGTAACGTAGTTGGATATACCTATTTATTAAGAGAGATAGGGAACAATTAAAAATATTGCAAAATAAAGGCAGATTTAATTCTAAAATTAATAAAGAATCAGCCGTCTATTTTGAAAAGAAAGCAAGATTATAGTAATGGTAAAGAGTATGCAGTATTTTCTATAAGAGAGCAGGCAATGAATTAAGCTGAATTATAGAATTGATTTGACCTCGTTTTCGCAATTTAGTCGTGTCGCTAGGGCAACCTCGATGAAGGCACTATTCTATTCAATTCCAAACTTAATACCTTCTTTGTCAGCAAATATTCGTTTCCTATCCTACTGGTTAACTTATTTAATGGGCTCAAACCACCGTATCCGGTATGTATAACTCGTTTCAAATACCTAATAGAAAATATATTTAATAAAAACGAATTTATTATCGAAGATATGAAGACCAAGATGGTGTGGCCTTTTGTGTGGTCGCAGTCTCCTTTCGTTGTATAG